AACAGCTGAGGTAAGTTAGTGCTATAACCACTTATAACCTCATCGCCGACCGCTCCAATATGTCATAAAATGTCTCAAAGTCCTCCTTATCTCCACCATCGTCTATCGCCTCTAAAGTCTTTATCGATTCCTTTCAGTACCGGTCGTGAGCGGCTAACACCCTGAGTATTGCGCCATCTGTTACAACTCTCCCTAACTCTCCATCTTACCCGGCTTCGCTTATCTTCAACCTCTCAGCCTCTCTGGTCGTCTCGTAGCATGCCCTTATCCGAGACCGCCCTTCGAAAGGTGTCACTTGGAGTACGTATTTTATCCTCCGTCCTCCTTCTATTCCAATCCAAAGTCCTGTTCCCCTAGCCTCACGCAGCGTGCGGCGGACACACTCTGCCTCCTCAACTATGCACAGTCTGGTATGGAGGTGGAGTTCTATGATCACTAACACTAATGGTCCGTCCAGTCTCCCTACCACATATAATGAGTACCGATCCGTCGTGTGTAGTGCAGTCCCGCTCATGTCCCGTCGCTACTTCCCTGCGTTACTTTGTCTTCCGTTGTCTCGCTCTCTGCAGATCGCTCACTAGTTTCTTCGCGTGATACGCTTCTAGCCTTTACCCTCTCGAGAAAGTCTGATCTCCACGCCTGGATAATCTCTCTTTCTTCCCTAAACATATTGTCTAACTCTCTTGTCACGAGTTCTGCCCTACGCAACTTGCCCTCGTCCTGGCACGACCAGATCTCCCTTAACTTGTTCTCCAACTTCTTTATCTGGTTCAAGAGTGGTTCTTTAACGCGCTTTCTGACTCTTCCGACTGCCTCATTCTCCTCTTCCATACTCGGTCCACATCTTTTTCCAGCTCACCCTCTCACCCTCGCTCTAGCCTCCACTACCGTCTCATCGTGGTAGTGCTCCGCGCGCATATAACCATGAGACCATATCATCACATCATAGGAAATCGAGGTCTGGAAGGTCACTCGTGCCAGTACATCAGCTCTACGCTCGTGGATCAAATCCCTAGCTCGTTGTCTGCACTCACTCGCTGTCAAGTCCTCGTCTACATACGCTCGGAGAAGTACTGTCACAGTGTATCCTGCGCTTACCAGTTGCTTTTCTACACGCATCACCGTGGTCGTTCTTCCCGGCATTCCCTAAGCTGCGACCTCGAAGAGAAATCTCACATCCTCTAGCCCCGCGTAATCGATCTCTGCCCGTCTCTTGCAGTACCTAATCAAATCGATTGGCCTCAGACAGTTCACCCAGCTAGTAACGTCTATGATGTCGTCAAGCATCTCTCTACTGGGCGGGCCCCTCCTCACACAAATTGCGTGGTATACTTCCTTGAAGCGGGGCGCTAAGCCCTCCCAGAGTGTGTAAAGTGTGTGGTCCACTGCTCTACTCAAACGATCCACGCTCCCATAGGTCTACCCTATCACGAAGGTAGGAAGTCCGAATCGCCAATCCTTTCTCGGGTAGAGGGTCGGATGTGGTGGACCATATACCAAGCAGCTCCAACTCGTCCTCCCTCCAGAGAGTCTCGCCAATTGCTGATTAACGACTATTCTGGCCAACAACTCGCTCCTCCACCAACTCCTGCTCACCCCTGCGAGCGTTAGTCCTATCTCTAAATCGTGTGCTCTATCCGCTATCAGATGTCCGACCCCTTCTAGATCATGAGTCCTCTCGGGTCGTTCGTCTCGTAGTATCACTGTCCAAAGGAAGAGCCCCTGTGCGAGTCACGTTCCCAAATATCGTATCGGTACACGCCCTGCCTCTTCTAACGCCACATGAAGTGGTATGTCGTATCCAACCACCGTCTCTCTGGGTCCCACAAGTTTCCTCCCACTGTACGATTCGGACTCTCATGAGAGAACATAAGCTAACCAGGCCACTGAATCACTCATCTTTTCTCCTACTCTCGGTCAGCATCACTCTACTCCCTCCGATGCACCCCATCTCTCGACGTTGCTAACCGTCCAGACAACTCTCGCACTCAGGTCCAGTATGGTCGAGTAGGATCAGTAGCTAAGCTCACTCAACCGTTACTCTAATGTGCTCCTCTACCTCCTACGTCCGGACTGCTACCCCTATCCTGGGAAAATGGGCGTCTGTAACGTCAATCTCCTCCTCGTCAACCTCATTCTTTGGGTCGACCCAGTCTGGCTCCCAGGCGTCCTCGTCGTCCTCTCGCTTCCAACCCTCGTCGTCAAACTCGTCCTCGACGCGGTAAGGCGCCTGTCCTATACCCTGGTAGTATTGCGCCAACTGATGGCCGTATATCAGAGGCCGCCCGGCGTCCTCACCCCACCAGCTCTCCCAGTCGTCTGAGAAGAGCCGCCCGATGCAGGTCACGTACTCGGGGCCTGCTCGGAGCTCGCGGTCTAGCCAATCCCAAACGCACGGAGACTAGGCCCACTCGTCGTCTATCGAGCGGATCAGCTCTATAAGCTGAACCCTCTCGTCTCCCCAACGAGGCCCACCGGTTGCGAGCGAATAAAAGATGTAGTCTAGGTCGGCAGACCTTCTCGCCAGGATCTTGAAATCCTGATAGGCCAGGTATGTCTCGACCACTCCACCAATATCTCCAAAGACGCTCTCTACTACGAACGTCAGAACTATCGCCCGCAGGCTCCTAACGCTGTACGGGAAAAACCCGTCCCGTGCTACCACCAGCTCGCCCGTGATATCAAGAGGAGGGCGTCCGTGAAATAGGGTCAACGGGTCGCTCGAGTCCTCCGCTCGGAAGGCAGCTACCTCTTCCCCTAGGTAGCGTAATGCCGTGCTAACTGTGCCACTAGTCCCTGTCGTCACGAGGCCCACCACGGCCTTCCTGACCGCACCTGGTCCCAAATACAAGTAGGCTCTCACTACGCCCACTCCTTGC